TTTATGTTAGCAACTGCTGGGCAGGAGGAGAGGGGAGAAAATATAGATGCATCTTCAGTCTGATGTTTTTGACACTGGCTTTAGAGCGGAATTACGTAGAAAGTGGGTGGCAATGAAAGTTTCAGGAATCTGTCCAACGATTAGTGAATATGAAGTGCACAGACAGAGTAGAGACCAGAATCCATGGATCCTTCCCAGGGGACCCAGCCAGTAGGATATGGCTATATGTACCTTGGAAGGTGAGGAGCGAGGTGCTCTTTTAGGGAGGTCAGAGCATCATGGTGAGGTTGACTTCCTGACAGCCTTGACTGAGAAAGCAGCTGACTCCTTACGGGCATCAAGTACCGACGAAGATGGGACAGTGTGTGTGTGTCATGGGGGAGGCCTGGGTGCTTTTCACTTTTCTAGAGGGCAGGTTCACTTCTGGCATTTTCTAGAAATACCATCCTGAATGTTTAAACAGTTTCTTTCTCCAAAGTTTTTGAACCAACTGCATTTTGCTGAGGTTTGGAGTGTTTTTTGTGCGTGTGTTTGTGTGCTGCTAACAGAACTCGATAGCCAGCATCCAGCACTGCTTTCTTCTAAGCAGAGCATAAGTGAATTACTGAGCTTAGGGAAAGTGACCTCTTCGTGTTTCTGTAGTTCTTCTTGCATACTGCAGGCAGCAGCATTTAGTGCCAGATTTGATGGGCATGGCTCGGAAAACACTACAGGAAGTTGTTATTTCCATGCACTGTCTTTATAGTATGCTCCTGGATCACTAGTTAGTCCAGGACTTTTGCAAGCAGTTTGGGGCCTAAATTGCAATTTTACTCCTTTCCACAGAGTACAGTGACTGTTTCTCTCTGATTTGTACTTTGATTATGTGCTGCGTGGGTTGTGTTAACGTATCTACAACTCCATTCAAACCTCTCATCTGGTTTTGAATTTTTGCTAGGTCTTTAAACTTTCAGTTCAAAATTTGGGTCTTGGCATTGCAAAACTCCAGTTCCTTTTGATCACATCACTGTGTTTTTACAGCCAGTTGACACATTTCTACCAAGAATCTCTAATTTTTTTCAGCAGGTCCAGTAGTAGAGCTTCTCGGTGCAAACCTATTACTGACTTAATAGACTCGATTTATTGATCTTTTAGTGAAATTGTGAAAAAGCTCTATGCTTGTTCAGGTGATAACAAGTCCATGCTAAATGTGTTCAACTGTTCAGAGTACATTTACAGTTTATATTTAAGGTGAAGATGTCATGGGTTATTTGCAATTTGTAAAATCTTTTTTTGTGCCTTTTTTTTTTTTTTAAGAAAAGCAGGATGCCTGAAGAAGTGTGTTTTCAGCCCTTTTTTTCTTCCTCCACCAGGTGTGAGGCAGCTAGCCCACATATTCATCCTGTTGGATGGTGTAAAGAGCATAAAAGAACCCTCATCACCCCGCCAGGTTTGTACCATATTGCACATCTGAAAGAATTAATTAATTGTAGCCAGTTAACAGCACTGACTAAACCTTAACAGTGAGCTTTATGTTACCTCTTTTGATTTTCTTTTTCTTTCTCCAATTAAGATCTGGTATTTGGAGACACCTGAATTGCTTTTAAGATTTAGTACAGTGAAATAAGAGGTACAGTGGACATTAGATTTTAAGTGTGCACAGGTATATTGCTTTCATAAAGAGACATTTATTGATAAAAGATACCTCTTGAAATGTGAAAAATGTCTGCATTTGGAGCTGAATATAGCCGCGTGGTCTAGGACTTACACCATGAAAATGCTGATAGAATTAATTCCAGGCCTGTGAGACTGCTTCATGAGAAAAACCCCTTCTTGTGACCCAAATATGCAAGATAACGGGTAAATGAGAAAAAAGCCTTATGTGATCAAGGAACAAATTTGTAAAGGTTCCCAGGAAGGGAGGGAATCAAAATGAGAGAGAGATGATACAGAAGAATGAGATTGTACTAATTTTTAGAATGCCACCATTTTTTCAGGTGTTTTTTGTACATTGTATATGACTGCATTAACTGAATGCCTTCCATGGCAAGGGTAACGGGAAACAGGTATTTGGAAGTAGAGAACAGAGCTATATGAAAATATCTCCTGCCTTGATAACTGTTGGCCTTTATTTCCCATAGAACTTTCAGAGCCAAGTAAATTACTTCTAAAAGAGCAATAGAGCCAGGTGAGGCCTAGTGAGAAAGCTTGGGAGTGTTGTACAGCATATCACAGCTTTAGTATCTGTTTGTCCTTCAGATCAGAATTTCTGTAAGCTGAATTTTACAATATTTTGTTCCCCAGAAGCAGGATATGGTTTACATAAGGTTTGAAGTGATACAAGTGGACAGGGGTGCCAGAGCTTTTGTGTGTGCTTTCTTCTTTTCCTGGATTAACTTGCAGACAGAGTTCCCCTCTGAATCACTGCGTGACGACTCAGATACTTCTGTCACAGTGAGCAGGAACAAGTGGTTGGGAAGCACAAAAGTTTCTCTTAGAAATGCATGCTTACGCTATCTTAGAATATGCCTGAAAATATGAATAGTTGGGTTTTTTATGTTCATTTTCTTGTTGTATTCTTCATCTTGTTGATATAATCCAGTTGCAAAGCACCCTTGGAAGACAGGTACGCATGCAAGAAATAGAGAATTTTGATACAGTGGGGGATGCAAAATTGAAGCAAAAAAACATTTTGAAAGGGGGAAAAAAAAAGATAAAACTAGTGTTATTAAAAAAAAAAGACTGATCAAAGCTTTGTGGGACTGAAGTTCATATTGAAAGTCTTTGTATCAGTGTTTTCTTGCTAACAGCAGTGAAGGCTTTCATTTTTGTCCCACAAAGCTCTGCTTGGTGCAAAGACCTGTACGTGTTACGCATCGAACACTTGGCCAGTGTTGTAAAAATCCCATGTTGACCAAACAAACTTCTCAGGTAATTTCACTAAGAAGCAGTAATAAATTTAAAAGGGACTTGCACATGACTTTCCAGGTAGTTCTGCAGTAGAGGTGCAAGCAGTCAGTTTGGTTGGCATCCAAGAAAATCCCTTGCCTTGCGTGAGAAGGAACATGAGGAAAGCTGCCCAGGTCTGTTTTGCCCAGGAGCCGTTCAGCCTGGGTATGGTGATCTGGGGATAGCTTTGGCTTGTGTTGGATGAGAAGATGTCTAGAAAGGAAGGACTGGCCCCATGCATGCAGAATAACTGGCCCCAGTTAATCTGGAAGCATCTGCATCTGCCCTGGATGGGGCAGTGAGGGCCTCTGAGCAGTGTCCCTGCATGGAGAAGCAGGGATGTGTGAGCTCCCAGAGCCTCTTTGCACCACGAGTGGAAGCAACTCCACAGAAAATAATTTGTTTATTAGCATAAAACATTACTCTGGCTGTGTGACTGTGCAGGGCACCAGGAAAATATTTGTAGAGGAATTTAAAGGGAAGTGGTTTGTAAAATCTGACGCTGGTCAGAAGATACAAGCTTTCTTTCTTCCTTTCCCTACTACTTCATTATTTCCAGCATCTTATTTGAGAAAATTCTTTTTGCCTTTTTTAAGAGTCAATAATAAGATTTCATTTTGAGAGCTTCAGCTTTACTTACAAGCACATCTGGGCCTGTGTGTTGGCTGAGGCGTGCAAGGACTGTGCTGAAAGCCCTTGGCATGTGAGAAGGGGGAAATGAGCTGTGCTGTGCAGCCCCTGCCCACTGCCAGTGTCACAGCTACACATCCCTCTTCAGAGCCGCAGATACCTGAAACAGATAAAATAGTTGTTCAGCCCTGCAGATAGCTTAGCAGCTTAGTGCTGAAGGTGAGGATCTAAGGTGAAGGCTGTAAGCTCTGGAATTGCTGCAGAAACAGCAGTTGTCCATGGCTATCTTGATGAGGAAAACTTAAATGGACTGAAACAAACTTGACAGAAATCTTAGTGCCCAGCAATTCTGGGAAGTCAAACATCTTGAGGCCATTGACTTATATAACACATGTGCAGTCCATCTGTCACAAGCTAATTACAGCCTGTTATTCAGCAAAATCCCTTTTGATAGCTATATAAATTGTTTTTATTCAATTCTAGATTATGAATCAAATGGTTAAACTTCTAGTGCAGATTAAAGGTGGAGGACGGGCGTTCTCTGCTCTTCAAAAGCGAAGCTGTCTTGGTGTTTCTTGCATAAAATGTTTATACACATGACGGTGGTATATTCATTTTCTGAGAGTGACAATGTTTCATTGATGATACATGTAAATTATTATAAATGTCCAGACTGTTTTTAGAAATTTGGTTAAAATGAATCCACTAAAATATTAGCAGATAGTCAGGTGTGTTTTAAGGTGGTGCAAAGTTGTCATTGATTAAGTTGTATTTGTTGCTGAATTACTGTCTATAGAAGAGAAGATTGTGGTTATAACACTTGAATGAGTTTCCTGAATGAAGTGGACAGATTTTGCAAGTCCCTGTTACTTACATTTGCAAATCCAAAGTAGTTACGTTGGTGTTTCATTGTATTGTGTATGAGGTGATTGTTGGTTTTTTTTTTTTTTAAGTTAATGTGGTGGATGTGCCAGAGAGTTTAAGATAGTGTGTCTGGTAACAGCATTATAGAAGTGTCAGTCATATTGTGAATTATATATTTATTTCTATTATTATACCACCTTGTTTAATTTTGCTAAAATTTCTTTTGTGCCAGATTACCCACATGCTAAACACTTTTCCTGGGAGAAATATTTGGAAGAAACCAGTTCCTTACCTGCACCTGCAAGAGCTTTTAAAGTGGTGAGGAAATGCTTTCATTTTTCTCGCAGTGCAAGTGATTAATTAGTTTAATAAGAGAACACATATACAATTTTCTTACGATTCCAAATGTATTTAGTTAAGTGGTTACATAATAAGTTTATTTTTATGCAAGTCTGCAGTTTACAGATAGAAATCAGATAATTATTATTATTATAAATTACTATTATTACTTTAATTGTCACAGATGTAATGAAATGCTATGAAATATTAATATAATCGCTTTGGGAAATCGTTGTCTAGTTATTCGAAATAATGAGGTAGCTGCTGAGTCATTATAACTTACCTTAAACATAGGTATTTCTATCCTTTTTAAATGGTGTCTGAAATGTTAGGAGAATGGAAAATGAGTGTAGATGGTGAGGCTGGTTGTCTGCGTAGCCCATGGTCTGTGCAGGAGCTGGGCAGGTTTGTGTTTCACGTGCTTCAGCAGACGGTGGCTGCTTGGAGCTTGTGGACGTCAGCGAGGGACAGCTCCCCAGCCTGACTGTGATTTGTGTGAGGAATCATCCTCTTCTGCTGATTTCCTACCTGCTAGTTTCTTTCAGGGACTTTTCCAACAGTGAGCTCTTAGGATTTCAGCTAGGAAAGTGGATCAAGTGTTAACACAGAAAGCATCCCTGGTAGAAGCCAACACCAGCAAGCAGTAGTGTTGGATCTGGGGGTGAAATATCCTTGAGACAGCCACAGTTGTCTCTACATTTTATTGAGAGAGACATTAAGAGTTCTTAAATGGCAGCTGAGGCGGAGGCATTGGTGTTCTGGAACATCAGGTTACAATTTCTAGAGTTTCTAGTTTTAGAAAGTTTATTAGAAATCTCAATTAGAAAGATCACTTATTACACATATGTTCTTTTGGAATTAAATGAAATTTAGCTTTTGTTTTTATAGCTGTCTAGCAAAGATAAAATGTGATTATCCTAACATACCCGTGTTTTTTTTTGGCCAAAACAGAACTACAAAACAATATTAGTTCCTTATTGTTCTAAATGGATATTTAGGCTATCTGGCACTTCTACAAAATGCTGTTTTACTGTGAATTATGTTTCCTGTAGGAGACTGAAAACAATATATAATCCAGAATGAGAAAACACACACTAAGAACACTAATACATTTACCATTAATGACTTCATATAAATTGCAGGCTGCTGGTATTTAATGCTGCAGCATTCAGTTCTGTGCTGAAACTGTTGGCGAAATACCAAAAATAAAATTATTTCCCCAGAAAAAGCCCTTCCAGAGGATTTAGGAAAAAACTGCTAATTTAAAATATTAAAGACCTTGCCTTGCTGACTTGCATGAAAAGCTTGAAGCTGAAATCCCAAACTAATTAATTATTTCTCTAGTTTAATAACAGTAGCATAAATTATCTTTTTATGTTTTGATTTGTTGAGGAAGGAGGGCAAATTTCTGAAAGTGAAGGCAGGAAATTTTATATGGAGCTTATATGCAATACCTTAGGGGGTGGAGAGAGAGGTTTTCTTTTGTTTCACTTTGTTTTTCTTACTCTTCTCTTCCAGAAACCTTCTCACGGCTTTCAGAAAAGTATGAAACTTGAAGTAGTTGACAAGAGAAATCCAGTGTTTATCAGAGTAGCAACTATTGTAGATACTGATGACCATAGAATAAAAGTAAGTTTTTCTGCCTTTTTAAATTGTCCTTTGTGAGTGCTTAATGAGTAGTCCTGTAGTAGGAAAATTAAGTTTTCAAAGCCTCTCAGTGAGTCAGTTATGTTGGGAAATTGCTTTGGGAATAGTTGAAATAAAACAACTGTCTGATTGAAAAACGTGATGATTTAACACCAAGTGTCAGAGGGCTGCTATAAGGTCCATAAAATTTGATGTCTGGATTAATGGAATAGAATCTGTTTCTGTAACTTCCACTACAAAAAGGGAGATATAAAAACATTTCTTATGCCTTGTCAGTGTCTTCTGCCATTCTGAGGTTTATATTAGTTCTGGATGTTAGATTGGATAATTTCAGATAATGTATTTTAAAGAAATTGCAGTCTTCCAGAAGATATCCATTTGAATAATTTTTGTTTTGTTTTACAAATATTCTTTGAAGCCTCTAACTGGAAGAGGGCAGGCAGATTGCAGGTTTCTAGTTAAATGGATACAAAGGATGTTCGTGCTTGCAGTTTGTAGAGGTTCAAGTAGAAAATGCAGCTGGCATTTCATTTTGAGTCTGAATTAACTAGTGGTAGGGAGTCATCTGAAGTAACAACTTCGCACTTACACTTTTTTACTTAAACATTGTTGGACATGTCAAGAAAAGATTTCAGTCTAGTTTATTAAAATAACATGATTTGTAGCTTCTTGGATAGTAGATAATTGACTGTATTTTGGTATGTATTACATTCATATGCGCACAGCTGAAATATCTTCGCTATTTACAAGCACAGAGATTGAGGAAAAGCTGAAGATCTGCAGCTTTGGCCTGAAAAACAAACAAGAAGTATGGCATAGACTGGTTGCTTTCTATGAAGTTATAGAGTTTGTTTTCTCTTCATCTACGATACTTTACTAAGATTGTTCCTATTGTGTTGGGATTCTTTTGTTGTTTTTGTTTTGGTTAAATGACATTTTTTAGGCTTTTGCTTGTTACTACGCTACTGTTAAATCTTGCTGAAATAGGAGGTTCTAAAATGCTTCAGTTTCTTTGAGAGCAACGAAAGCATAATTTCTTGCTTAATTTAATGTTACTGTTAATATGTGAACACTGAAGTTGTCCTGCCTTTTTTTTTTTTTTTTTTGGTGGGATCTTACAATGTGAGACACAATAAAGAACAAAATGACGCTTAGGTTTTGATTTCAGTGAGAGTGTGTCTGGGCCCTGCATCTAATCTATATGTGGTTTCTATGTAACATCCATAGTTTTTTATCAAATGACTTATCTGAAGGAGTTTGCCTTAGAGTCTATAATTTCGAGAGGTAACTCAGGGAAAAATGAATTCAGAGAAATTTTCTGAGTTAAAATGCATTATTATCTCTAACTCTCTTTTTTTAAATTTTAGGTTCATTTTGATGGCTGGGATAGTATTTATGATTATTGGACTGATGTAGATAGCCCTGATATCCATCCTGCAGGCTGGTGTGCAAAAACTGGACACCCTCTTCAGCCCCCACTTAGTAAGACATCACATTATAATATAATGTTAAAAGGTGTATGTACTTGATTTTTTTTTTCTCTAAGAGTGTTGTCCAAGGAAAAGTAGCAATTAGTGTATGGAAGATAGTGTAAACATGACATTTAGCACCTGATCTGCATAATTTTAAATTTACCAGTTAATGATTTTTTAGTAGATAGCTTCATTGCCCCGACTGTAATTAAAATACAGTGTCCGTTCGTGTAGGAGCGTAAGGTAGGTAATGATAAAGACCTGTTGTGTGAAATGCTGGCCTTGCTGAAGCCAATGATGAAAATCCTGTGGAATTTCAGTAGGACTGAGGTGTCACAAGCAGCATCTGCTGTGTGCCCACTTAGTGCAATGGAGGCCAGGCTGCCCTGGGAAGGCACTTCCTGCACGTGGTGCTAGATCCTTGGGAACAGATAAGTCTCTTCAGTTGAGCAGAGAGGAGTTAGTGCTGCTGGTGTTGAAGATAAATCTCACAGGAGCCTGGTACTAATACTAGTATGACCTGCTTGCTGTCTCCAGGGATTTGTTTTACACCTTAAAGTGGGAGATCTGTCATAAATGAGACTGGAGGTTGCAGGGAGAAGAGACTATTTCACAGTCAAGATATCCCTTCCAGGATTGCTGTGCTTCTAAATGTTTGTGAAATCTCTCTAGCCAAACTTGTAACAAGTCATATTTTTTTTGATGGCGTGCTACTTTGGGGTTTGTTTTATGGATAGTTGACTTGAGGCTGAGATATGGTTTGTACAAGTGCTGGACGTTCAGAGCTATGACTGTGATCAGAACGAGCGGAGTGCTTGGAAAATATGAAATACTGAGTAATGCTACATATTCTGGAAATTAAATATAACTTGGATAAGGCACATATGCAAAGTGGGAATCGCTTACCAGAAGATCACTGTAGCTGGGTTCAGCATCTCTAAAGAAGAGCGTGTTTTCCCTCAGGAAAGGGCTCAGTGTGTGTTCATTAGCTTCCTGAGCACTCTAACAGCACCGCCAGGACAGCCCCTTAGGAGGTTAATCACTCTGCCTTCAAAGCAGCATCAGAACAGGCTGCTGGAGGGACCAGGGCACAGCGTGACTAATGGCCAAGCCCAGGGGTGACTGTGTGCCTTGGCTGAGCGTGGGCCTCCTGCGTGCTGAACACGGGAGGAATCCGGCAGGGAAAAGCAGCACGTGAGGGCATCACCAAAATAGCAAGGCCAAAAAACGAATTAAGTTTGTGATACATCTGTATTCTGTGGTTGAAAAAAAAATGCCATTTTTTATACTCGCATGCCAGATGTGAGTATAAAATACAGAGCTTCATTTGCTGGAGATATTTAAAGAAAAAACTAAGTTTGTCCATCACACACAGTGTGTCAGCTGCTCTAGGTGCGTGCGTAGGCGCCACTTCTCATCTCTTAGATTATGCCTGGGAACACAGGTGGAGGTGGCATTTTGCTATTAGTTTAGCTAGAAAAAGGAAGGTTGAGAGCATAACAGGAGAGAAAGTGACCATTTTCTAAATAGAAAAAAAATATATTCAGTTCAGGAATTACATTAAAACTGGATGGATGCTGAGTACCATACTTTTCTAATAGAATGGCTTTGTATTATTTCTGTAGAATATAGTATACCAGATAGAATATAAAATACTATAAAAACATTGTTTACAAGGAAAGTAAAGGTCATTTCATGTCTTCTGAAAGTGTTCAGAAAGAACTAAATAGAAAAAAAATATATTCAGTTCAGGAATTACATTAAAACTGGATGGATGCTGAGTACCATACTTTTCTAATAGAATGGCTTTGTATTATTTCTGTAGAATATAGTATACCAGATAGAATATAAAATACTATAAAAACATTGTTTACAAGGAAAGTAAAGGTCATTTCATGTCTTCTGAAAGTGTTCAGAAAGAAGGAAGGTAATATTTCCCTTTTTTTTTTTTTCCTCTCAGTTAATAAAAGTCTTTATAATGAGGTGGTCTGGATCCTTGTCTTCAATACCAAAAGCTTCATGTGAACTCTGCACAGAACTAGCAGTATTTATCTACAGCATTCATAATAATCATAGTTTTTTTCCAATATTTATGTATTCCTAGTATTTTATTTTAAGATGTAGAGAAATGGTTGTGATGGGATACCATCTTTTTGCTAACAATTAGGGAATTAAGAGCCACGTATTAGTGTTGATTTTAATAACAGTTCTCTGTGACATTAATAGCAGCTTTGATACATAAAGATGGACCTTTTCAAACTCTTATTTATTGAAAAACTCACGCTAAGAATGCAGAAGGTCCTTACCAATTAAAAACAGGTCTTGCCTATACTCTCGCGCAAAATAACCTGGTTCCAGCTGCAGTTCAGTTAGTATGAGAGAAATTCTAAGTAGTACAGTTACTCTAAGATCCACATTCTTTTTATATATGTACCTTTCTTGTAGAGGTTTGCTCACACAGAAAGTTGTGCTTCTTCAGGGATTAGGTCTTAGCAAAGACATGATGGAAATGTCTAAATGCATTTTGAAGTACGCTCAAAGTAGGTTTTCTTTGCTAATTTCTTCTTCATGTTTAATATGAGACATTGTGGTATATTTGTGTGTTTATATATCTTCTAAAATTTGGTATAATTTTTAATTTTATATGTAATTTTCTCTGACATGCAGGTCCCTTGGAATTAGTGGAAGCTTTAGAGAATGGAGGTTGTCCCATATCGGGATGCAAAGGAATTGGGTACATTAAAAGAGCAAGACATATCGGCCATCACAGGTATATGCTATGAAACTCTGGCTTTACTCCTTCAAATCGAGTGATCTGTGCGTATCTTTCTCTGATTGTGGCTTGCAAGAAGCCAGATCCCCCAAACTCCTGTAACCTCAGCTGCGCAGCGCTCGCAGCTGCCCTGCACGCAGGCAGACGTGGCCGTGAGCGCCGGCTCGTGTGGTGTCACCCCGGTGCGCCCGGGCAGGACGTGGCAAACGGCATTTCCTGGTGCCATCAGTAGACTCAGCTGCTCTGTAGTTTATTCCTCTGGGGATTGCTCAGCTTGCTGTTTAGATGGGAAAATGATCAAGACGAGTATGTGTAATGCAATAACTTTGGTATTTTTTGAGATGGCGAGGGCACTAATTTTATCACACCTTGGATATTTTTATTGTATTCCGTTGGTGATGGTAAGGATTTGAATTTGAATTTTATTATTGATGTTTTTAAGCACGTTATTAAGTAGGCAGCACTGCAGTCTTTTAACATTGTTGAGTGGCAGAATTATTTCCTGTTGGCCATAAAGTTTTGCTGGCATGTCAGCCTTAATCAGTACTCATCCCTAACAAAGGTAACTCTGCCAGCAAAACTGTGTATACGTGTCATGTGAAAAAGGCCTATTTTACAGCAAGAAGTTCTTTCCCGTGAGTAGCTGGATTTGTTGGGAAGGACGACTCATGCCAGTACAAACCTTATCTCCAGGAGGGAATGTGGCTCGGTCGCTGCCGCAACAGGACACAGTGTCATGTGGCCTCTGGTGTTTCTTTTTTCCCGCAGGGCAGTTTGCTGCCCTACCGTCCTTCTCCCTGTTCTCACCTATTCTCTCCTGGCTTTTTCCAGCTGTGTTCATTTTTCGTAGGAATATATATATATATATATTTTTCCTGTTTTCTCTTTTGAGAAATTTTGTTGCACTCAGTATCAAGCAGTAGGATAACTGCTTAAGCAGTCAAGTTATTACTTACAGTAACGTGCTGCATTCATGGTGTTAGTCCACTGGAAATGTGAAGTAAAACAGGTTTGACGAAAAAGCTTCCTGTTGGTTATTTAGCTGAAATCCATTTTATTTCATACTCTGGTAGACCGAGTCTTGTACAATTCATTAATGCAGCTGGTATGTAAGGGAGTAGCTTCCAACTCAGGACATTAATTTCTTAAAACATGTTGTCTTGATTACCTGTAATCATATGAACATATCCCATTCTTAGCCCGATGCTGAAACTTAAATGATTAAAAGAAAATGTAAGTATATGTGGCAGAAAAGCTTTTCATTTATGTTCTTAACTATAAATAAATTTGGTACTGAAAGTTTTAGCCTTTCCAGTGAAAGGATGAGTAAGAGATAGAAGCCTAGTCAGTTCATGTATCCTCTGCTTTAGTATTATAATTACTAATCCTGAATATTGAGAAAAGAAACTCAACTGCAGTCGTGTCTGTATGTGTATGTGTGTCTTAGCGATCCTGCTATTGAGCTACACACTGACGTATAGTTCTAGGGGATAAAAATATTACCAGAGAGGTTTTGTTGATCAGAAGTCCAAGGTATTTGTTGTTTCATGGTGAATATATTAGCACTGCAAGTATCTTATTCACTAGCTATGTTTTGTTCTCTGAGCTGGTGCTATTTTTTTTTTTTTTTTTGTATGCATCTTAGGAAGCTAATGAGATTTGTTATTTATCTGGAATCTACAGGTTTGAGGGTCTAGGTTATCCAGAAATTTCTCAAATTTTATTGATTTTCCTTCTGAACAAACAAAGACTTTGTGAAATTGCTGTAATTATCCCCGTCAGGTTGCAGTCTTTTGGCTCATTTATTTTGACAACCTTGAAATGTATTTAAGCATGCCTCTCTCTGGTGTTGTTCCCCCCCCACACACAATGAGATCCAATGTCTGTCTTGAGCATGAAGGCCCGTGTGCCAGCCGGATGATAATTTACAATGCTAAGCAGTTCTGAAATAATTTTGAAAGCTTGTTCCCTAGGAACCAGATGAAAGCCTGGGGTGATTAATTATGTGATGGGGTTAAAGCCTTTGGTTTTTGGAAAAGTTTATATGTTCATAATGACTTGCTGTCGCCACTGGACACAGGATTTTGTGCTGGGCAGTTGAAACCGTGAGACCGGTGTGTGGGTAGGCAGCGCTGTGCAGATTACCTGCGTATTTGTGATACATGGTCAGTGTGTGCTCCCCGGTTTTTAATGCACGCAGTAGTTTTCAAAGCTGAGCAGTCGTGCAAGGTGGTCAGTGGTGAGGTTTGTTAGTGCTGCGAGTTCTGCCTCCATGAATGAACGTGTAAGCTGCCTTTCCCCAGCACATCTCAACCCTTGCAGTTCCCAGGTGATCAGAGTGCGCGGGCGGCTTCTTAGCCCTTGAGGAAAGAACACGGGCGGAAATGTGCTGGGTCCTGTGACTGCCTAGTTCTCTATTAACTGGAGACTGCTGCTGCCATCAAATAAATGTGGCAACCAAGGAAAGACTTCCTGAACGTGGGCAGCCAAGTGCAAGCGTTTTAGCAGGTAGGCACTCTGCGTGGTTACGCAGCTGGATCGCTGCGCGTGCCAGGGCAGCAGCCGCACTCCGAGGGTCCGCAGCATGGCCCGCTGCTGGATCCACCTTCCCCAAAGGGATTCACCTCCTGAGGGTGACTCAAGGGCAGCTGCAGCGGAACCGCAGTTGGGATGTGCCACTTTGACGCTTCTGTTGCATAGGGAAGTTTCAGAAAGGGAGGGTTACATGAAGCTTTTATTGGCTTGTAAGTTCATACGTGCCCCGCTTTGTTGAAGCAAAACTGGCAGCCGAAATCAGGAGAGTTCTTTTTGTTGCCCCGAGTAATAGCAACATCAAAGGGCTCTTGCCCGGGAGATACAGATACAGTAATTTGAGTGATTAATTACAAAGAAAGACTCATATGAATCCAGTGCTCTAAAGGAACATTAATATTACAGCTGCTATTGGCTGATATTGACTGTCATTGAACATCTTTTTTTTTTTTCCCAAAAAAAAAACTAAAGAAAAAGTCAGTATATAAACAAGTTCCAGTGAAGGACTGCATTTTGAGGCTTTTTCTTATTTGTAATTTAAAACATGTTGATGGTAATGGGAAGGAGAAGACTTTATCTTGGAGCTGAAAGTGTATTGTCAGCTTTCAGTGTAATGTAGGGCATTTTTAATAATGCATACCTGAAGTTAAATATGACATTATTTCAGCATTTTCTTGAGAGAGCCTCTATAACTGTGAGCATAGAAATCCGAAAGAGGATTACATGCCTTGCCTGTAGCAGCAGCAAAAGTGGTATTAAACAATACATTCCTGAGTTGCTGATAACTTTATTTTCTCACAATAGTGCTAGCTTGTCAAAGCAGGTACTGAAATCTTGTAGGCATCGGCCTCTCAAATGCTTTTTCTGAACAGCAGTCTGTGTCTTCCAGGTGTTAGTTCATTTGAAAGGGAAAAGAGATATCGTTGTGATAGGGGCAGCAATCTAAAGAATGGGGACTGCAGAACACTTTCACAGTGTCCCTCCTTTCTTCCCCACGCATCAGTTCATGTTTTCCTGTTCTTCTATAATGTCTCACAGACACTGTCTTAAGAACAGTAAACCCAGTAGGTAAAAAAAAACTAAGTAGAAGTGTATAAACAAATGAACAGTAAACCCAGTAGGTAAAAAAAAAAAACTAAGTAGAAGTGTATGAACAAATCTAAAAATGTGAAATTCTGATTGATGGAAGTTAGAAACAAAAATGCTCCAGGTTACAATTTTTCTGTATGTATGCTGTTCCACATCTTTAAAACTATTTCATAAACAAGAAATATTATATTTCAAGCATTGTGCTTTAGAGTCCAGACACCCTTTTGGCTGTATCTTCTGCTGCTGTTTAAACTTCTGCTAGGAGTGTTTCTGTGCCAGAAGACTTCAGTGCCTAAGGAATTCCGGGCAGGCGCTGGGGCTGCCATCCAGTCCCTCTACCAGAGGCAGAGGTGGCCATCCTGTCCTCACAGCTGCATCCCGGGGGGGTTCCACCTAGGATGGCTATAAATGGGGATCCAATCTCAGTCAGAAAGCAGAAATAGGTGTGGGGGTTTGTTTGTTTGTTTTCTCTGTAATTCAAGTTCAATAAATCTATATGTGTATATATGTATTTTTAAATGTTGATATTGCAATTGTTGATATTGAAAAAAAAGCCAAGAGCTGCCCTTTGAATCCTGTCCAGATAACCGCAGCAAGGACAGCCTGACTTGCCTCCTACAGCCTTAAGGCATTTTCTACTATTTTGCTAGTGCTGAGGTACAGCTAATTTTTTTATCAACTTATACTACTTACATTGATAGGACAAAAAGGAGGTTCCTAGTCCAGCTTCATGATATCAAGTGATTTGTTCTCACTGTGATTCCAAAGCTTTGTATAAAAGGCCTTGATTTTATGCTGTGCTTTGTAAAATGAGCACACTAATGAGAGTTGTTTTTATATTTTTTGTAAATTGGAGGTGGCAAGGCATACTGCTGGCAAGGTAGATTGCTGTTTATTTTAGTTTTGCTTGAAAATGATGTGTAACAATTGTTGAAGCAGATGAAATATTGGAGTGGATTGTGGAAAGGCGGGTAGCTATGTTCTTGAAAGGAGAATAAGCAAAATCCCAGTTGGTGTTCACTTATATTTTACCGTTGCAGAGATCCTTGTAACCATATACATGCCTAGGAAAGCATAATTTTAAATTGCAGCTACTGTCATTGCTGATTAGGCACCAGCAGAACATCATGCTTACTGCAGCTTCTCCTATGTCTTAAATAGAGATTTGAAAATTTAGTATTTTGTTGTTCACTGTCACGGGATATATAATAGGCCTTTCAGAAAGTGGGGCATATCTTAAAAGTAGGAGTGTTTTGCCTGACTTAGCTGCTGAACATTGCATAGTGCTCTTTGAAAGACTGAGACTGAGTTGCTGTCATTCTGGGTCCTGGCTTGAGGAAAAGAGCAGGTTTTCTGACTTTGGGAGGTGCAATTTCCACATTTACCAGACTAATACTTGCAGGCCACTCCTAAAACACTGTGTCAGCTTCTCCCTTTCACTAGTGGGAGTGCAGCAAAAGGGGAAGGGTAGGAAGGAGTGTGACAGGCACCCATTTAATGCAATAGTGCAAGATCCCACTTGCAGAGAAGAAGCAGTGCAGTAAGAAGTGCCCTTGCGGCGCAGTGCAGCTTCGTGGCAGCCGTTGGCTGATGGAAACACCTTCCTTTGCAGGACAAATAACCCCAGGGGTGTGATGGGGTATTTCAAGGGAGGTGGGTGTGGTGCTCAAGATTTCTGATTCACAGAATGCAAGTTTCTGATGTCCTTGCATGGAACTGAGCCTATAAAGGAACTGGGAATAAGGAGAGCTGTCTGTCCCTGCCGTTGCAGTGCAGCGAGCTGCCCCTACTCGGAGCTGAACGTGAGCAAGGAGAGTCTCCTGCCCGACCGGCTCAGCGGGGAGATGCCTGCGGCCAGCCCCGGCCCCCGAGGCAGGAGAGCCGAAGCCAGTGAACGATGCAGCTCTCCTGTCATCAGGTAACTACAGGCACAGCAATAACTGGGCTACCAACAAGACAACTCTGTGTTTCAGTGCTATGCAAAATAGTTGATAGGCCTGTCTACCTGGATTGTTGTTTATGGGGAGGAAGGGTTCTATCAATGCGCATAGAAAAGGTCACTGACCTGGCGGAGATTGGTACTGATCTCATTAACGTGTGATTTAACCCCAGCTCACTCTCATTTCTCCTAACTCTGTGGACTACAAGGCAGTAAATTATAATTTCAAATGGATGTTTTGCTGGTTGGTTTCACGTAAGAAAATGATTTGTCTGTGTTCTGTTGTTTGCTGGGGCAGCCTCCTTGATGTGAGCACATGCGAGGGTTGCTCTTCACAGAACAGCCACTGTAGATTTGCTTGTTACTGTGGGAGCAGGGAATCAAAGCACTGGGAACGAGTTCTGCAGGAGCGGTGCTGTAACAGTGTGTAATACTGCTCCTAGGAGGAGCGCAAGTGCAGACAGAGGATGTGATGCCAGGAAGCTTTTTGAAGATGATTTTCTGTCAGAAGCTACAGAGGGATTCGGGGGTTACATAGAGAATTTAAGAAGAAAAGGATGAGAAGAGAAACTTTCCATTGCTTTCAAGGCCTCTATTAATGTTTGCCATAATGTGAGTGCTTATACTGGAGATGTTGCCCAGTTTCCAGTGCAATGACCGTGTATTTTCAATGTTGTTAATATTCTCATATTTTAAATTACATTCTTGAAGAGAATTTCAGCTCTGTGCTTTAGAAACAAAATACTTGACTATTCAAAAGCACTTCCTGTTTTGATTTTTTTTTCCTGTAGATGTAGAATTGTAGAAATCTACAGTGAATTGATTACCCACTGACAGTTAATCTGCATATACTACAAAGAAACCAGAAACCGTTTCACCAGTGTTTTTTGTGACAGGGAGAGTGTCACTTAATATTTTTTTTATTGTTCAAGTGGAGAGGTTGCATAACATTGTTAAAGGCTCCGGGCTGCTCTCATGAGAAGAGGTGGCAGGGAAATGTCACTGCACTGTTCTTGTGCGTGGTAGAAACATTTGAAGTGGGTGGTTTATTATCAAAAGTAATACTGGGGAAATTCTCTTCCTTTTGAATTGTCTAAAACTTTTAGCTATGACTGCCAGAGAAACAGGAATCCCGTACTGTGATTTCTGATTATCCGTGGTATACAGTTTTGTTTGTGGCAGGCAAGAAATTTTAGTGTAACTTAAAACCAAAGCTTGTGTTTCTTTAATTACACTAATAAATCTTCACCCAAGAGAAAATAAGTTGAACAACAACCTAGCCGCTTTAAACGTTCTGTTTGTTTGCTTTAAACAGAGATTCCCTAGTCCTGGTCATATAGACATGAAATCTCCAGTTCATAACTGATTATGTGGAAAGTCCCTGTCAGAAATGGTTAAGCAGGAAGATCCAGAAAGTAAATCTCCTTGCAGGAAGCCCTCGTTATGGGATGTGGCAGAAAAGAAGCCATGTGGGTCACTATTTATTCCTTCCAAGTATGGGTTGTTTGGAGACCGTCAGTGTAAAATGCAACTTGCCACAACCACCGTGCAAAGAGCGTTGGTGGAACCCTTGGAAGCAGTGAAGAAAGGCCTGACGTTCTGCAGTTGTCTTTATATTAGAAATAGGAAGAGAAATTGTGCGCAGTGTATGCAAGAAGTAAGCAATGCAAACCAGAGAGAAAAAGAAAAATACTCTGAGATAGAGAAATTACTGGAAGTTTAGACCTGTGGAATTTCTTGCCTCTCTTTACAAATATGTTAGTCTATATATGCAGGTGTGTACATGCATATAAACATGAGAAGTAATTCCTTAATTCTCAGGTTTTGGAACATGTTTTTAATAGAAGGGTATGGAATAGTTTCCAGGCCAGTATTGGGAAGTTGTGTATGTGCTATAGAAACTGTACCACAGCCTATTAGCGGATACACTTCAGTGTTTTCAAGGACATATGTGAGGGAATAGGATTGCCTACATTTTTAATTAATTGCAGTGTCAGTGCATTATTCTACTGGTTGTTTTCTTAGAGAAAGAGAAGTAAGGCACCCTAGAAAAAGAAGTGTAATTCATTATATATTTACTTAACAATACCATCCTATCTTTGTAATATATGAATGTATGCAAATATCTATATTCATAATATATGTTTTAATAGTAAGTGCCTTGAGAGACTTTGGAGAGCTAATACATTTTTACGGTGAATACCTCACAGTAAAGTTCAGAGGACTGAAACTTGCTGTTTAATTAAGAAGCAATTAAATCTCCTGAAACTTTGTAGTCAGCAATTCCTTTCTTCAGTAAAAAAAAAAAATCTGTCCCTAAAAAGACTTGAAAAGCTACACAGTAGTAATTGAAAAAGTGTTGTTTTCCCTTCCATTTCAGTGAAAAAAATACTAATTACATAAGCACACTCTGCATAAGTAATTAGTTCAGTAAGAAATGATAATACTACGTCATGCAGATATCGTGTTGTTGCTGTGGGATGCAGAGAGCTGTGAGTGCGTTTGTCTTGCGCTGAGGAAGCGTCCCATGGAGCAGGGAAAGAAAATGCGGTCTGACGTGTCCCTGCCCTCTCGTGCCTGCGCTCGCTGCCCCTCAGGCTGCTGCTTAAATCTCGCAGGCACCTTCCTGTTGATCCTCCATATCACAAATAAATAAGTGAATATTCACTCATGTTCAAGTGAATTCAGACGGGAGGAAAAGACAGTTTCATAGGTAGTTCTTAGTATCTTGTGTTAAGTGACAGTTGTCTTTCATCATTTTAATCATAGTTCTTGTAAATTTACTACCTTTAGAAACAAACACCGATTTTACAGGATCTCTCTTAAGGCTAATTGGAGAAGAATTCCTTTGATCTTTCCCGTTTTGGAGGGTGTTGCTGCTCTGAGGCCCTGCAGTAGCAGGTTGGTTGTTCCCCGTGTTCAGGCCATCTCGGTCGGGCAGCACCGGCCTCCTGCTGGCGTCCAGGTACCCGCAGGCTCTGCAGTCGTGTTTCATCCGTGTGGCCCCACGGGTGCCTGGCTGGGTTTCATGCTCCCACTTTCCTGTTCTTTGTGTAATCCGTCAGCATTGGGAGAACTTTTAGCTGAAAAAATTCCTTTTAAAAAGTCGTGCAACGTGGACTTCGCAACATTTGGTGTATGTGAACTACTGGGGTTATTAAATATTGAGCATCTGGTTATTGCTATACCCAGTGGATCTCTTTATATGTGTATTCAAAACACACATGCATAATTGAAGCCATAGATCTGCATACATTAGTGCTCTCAAGCTGTGTGGGTTTAGTTGTGTTTGACTTCAATATAGTGTGTGTGTGTTGTCTTTTCCAGCGAAGTTCCAGCGAAGTTTTTGTTTCACAGAAGTACTTGGTTGAGGAACCAGCTACACATACAACCAACCAATGATTAATGGGCTTTGTTAAATCTTAAGTGGTACTAAGAATGCTAATTTCTGGTTCTCCTCTGCCTTCGCCTTCCTTTTCCCCCTCCCCTCCCCACCAGTAACAGATACATACACCTGCAAATGGCCCTTTGTACTAGAAAACATGTTTCAGAAGTACATGCCTACAAACTGCAGCCTGCTCCTGAGATTAAAGTTCAGGGTAAAGATGCTGTGCATCTTCACAGGAGCAAAGAAATTTTCCTGGAATAGATATTCCACCCTGGAAATCCTTGCAATTCAGGAGGCTGGGCACAGTCTTGGTGCTAGCTCATTAAAAAAAATCAATTTATCTTCTCACCCAATCATCCTCCGAACCTTTCAATTTTTGATATAATCCTGTATTTAACTAGTGAGTTAAAATTTCTGGATATATGTTTCTCTGAAAGTTGTCCTGAAAAAAAGATGTTTCCTCATGGTTTTATTTATGTTGAATTGCATTTGTCATTTACTTTGGCTCCAGAATTAATTGCACATATTCCATGTTAAAATATTTAATATTTGTAGGTCAGAAAATTTTTTTTTCAGTTAATGAATATAGGGGATATTTCTAAGCAAGGTACTGTAAAGGAGTCATTTGTGCCAGAAGAAGGCAGGTGTGTTAGTTGTTGCCATTTGGGCTGCGTCAAACACTGCAGAGGCTGCATTCCTGATCTGTGGTGCTCGTTTTGCACTATGTATGGTGTATATTATATCCTGTTGATGTCAGGGAACCTGCTGTTCCTACCTGATTCATACTAAACAGATAAATATATATAAAAAATGATAAACAGGTTATAAATAATAAACCCCTTCTTATGGGAGTTTGTGCTTTGAGATTGGCTAAACTTGTTGAATAGGATGTTAACTATAGTTCAGGCTTTTTATCCATGTTTGGGGCATTTTTTAAAGGTGTTCTTGTTGGTGGCTTCTCTGGTATCTAATAAAGCAATGGGCTTTAATAATAATAATAAAATAATAAAAGCAGTAAGGCATGGGCTGCTGTCTGGTGGTTATTTTTACCAAATGTATATTATGGGCCATATATAAATAAAATGTATATTATGTATGCTAGTCCAAATTGGCCAGAGTGCTCTCAAAATATTCAGAGAAGGAAAGAATGCACACATATGCTACCAAGTTTGCAGAAGCTTCTTTTTTTATAAGAAATCACGTTGGAAATCCCTTCTGAAGACAGAGTTTGAAAAGGAACTTCTCATGGGTAGCGTTCAGATGAAGATAGAAGCACCCTCTCCCTTTGGAACTTTCCTTCCTGCCACTGCTCTTCCCTGCTAAGAGGGGGCTGTTCCCTCAGTGCTTTGGCAAAGCTGAGGGAGCAGCCACAGGCAGCAGGTGAGCAGGGCGACTCCTTCAGCTAGGTGAGAGGTGAAGCAAAAACAGCCGCGAAAGAAAAGTTACTTTTCAGTGGGAGCACCAGCCGCTGCGCAGCAACGTGCCGGTCCCGTGCAGGCCTGGGAATGGGGTGGCCACAGAGACTGGCCAGTGGCCAAGGAGCAGCTGCTGCCCAGGACGGCTCCTGAACGGTGCCTGGTGGCACCAGGGCGCTTCTGTGGGGAATGCAGCATGTGGGCGTCCTCTTCATCCTTGCCATCCTCTGCTGCAGGCTCATCCATTGCCTTTATATGTACTTTTTTTCCAGTTACAAAGTGTGTTCATCTGACTCATGATTAATTTATGCAACTTCTGAAGCTTCATTACAAAATTTGTGTCAAGAGGTTTATTGTCATCTGTGTAAGCTAGAAGTTAGGTCCTCTTACTTATTTTTCTGGGATGATGCAGCCTTCTTTGTGTGGGAATCCTGAAGTGTTAGCAACAGTCTCACATAATTTGCAAGCGACTTTATTGTGCTTAGTGGGTTTTATGATACGATAAAAAAGTGAACATCTTGTTTTCCTCAGTGGAGTGCAACAAACAAAAGACTCCATAAAGACTCAAGAGTGTGAAGAGGAGGAGACAGAAAATAAGCTGCTCGTTTCAAATGAAATTAAAGGTAACTTGGCAATTCTTCGCTTGTCTGCTATTAAAGTCTACAGAACTAAAGGAGTATGATATTCTTTTTATTTCTTCATGGAAACTGCATTGCAACTTACTTTCCACACTCACTATTTGCCTTCAGACCTCTTTTGACAAGAAGCACTTCTCCTCCTTTGTTTCTTTATCTTGTGATCAACAAGGGATTTGCTAAGAACTTTTTACAGCTGTAAAGATATGTGCAAACTGAATGCTGGTGTAAAAAGTTTCATTCCAAGATTATTTTTCCTCTGGTTTAAAAACAGGTGATTAATGAAGTCAGAGATGTACAGCTATAAAATGAATTTATTGTTTAAAAAGCTTCATGGAAAGAAAAAGATGCAGAGTGTATCATTTATACACTGCAGTGGTAATGCAGAGTTAAGGTATCTCACTGTGCCCAGGCTGAAGTTAATGTAACACCCGGCTCTAGCAGAAGGCTGGGCCAGATGGTCTCCAGGGGTCCCTTCCAGCCTGGGCCTCTCCCTGGTTTTGCAGTTCTGCAGGATTGTGCTGCTGTTGTGTCCAAACTCTGACTGTTCACTCACCTTGGATAGTTGGAGGGAGACTGCTCATTTTTGTCCCGGGTATTCAAAAAGAATACAGAACAAACCAGAACATCAGCGTTGTACTTCTGAGTAGTTATTTTCCATGTGTAAGGCTCGCTGTGTCAGACGACTTAGTCACTGGAGTGAATCAGAGCATTGTTTCAGTGCAGCTGTTGATGCAGTAAAATGTCAATTCATACAGAATCATTTAATTTAGTTCTTAAACTTTTTTTCTCAGCAGTTTGTTCTGCAATACGCAATGTACGATCATTTAATTTAGTTCTTAAACTTTTTATATTTTTCTCAGCAGTTTGTTCTGCAAAACGCAATGTACATAAGACTTTTGTCAGGAATCTTGAATAAGACTTCAGTGATTGTAGTTCTTCAAGGGCTACCTTTTTAAACAAGTGCATCTTCATTAAGCCCTAAAAATTCCTCTGGATTTGTTTTCCCCTGGAACTTCCCTTCTGGTTTGGTTAGAACCCCAAGCAACCCAGCTTGTGTTACCAGAGTGTGGTAAGTGGAGAAGATGAGGAGACTCTCTTAAAATACTCCTAATGTGAACTAAAACTCACATTTGGGCACGTCCTCTGTTTGGCCACGTTGGGTCTTCCAGAGCAATCCCCTTGCGCTGATGTGAATTTGTGCTTGAGTTGTCGGGCACAAACCTAGGAAGACCACAGCAATGAGAAGAGAGGGAGGATGAATATCAGCCTCCCCAAAATGAAGAGAGAGCTGTGGAGCTATGGCAGAAGTGAGCAGTGCAAAAAGGAATAGCACAGAGACTGGGAAAGTCCTGTTAGAAAGGAGTATGAGATGCAGAGTCTGTGTGGGCTCTTTTCATTCAGAAATGATCTCCAGAGGTTCTTCCTAATTTTACTCAGCAGCTGGGAATCATTCCAGGCTGAGATGGGAGCAGGCACATTGCTCTCGCATTTGCAATGGAAATGCAGGCCTGCTGTAGCGGAACGTGGGTGCCTCGGCCTAGATGTCCAGGTTGGCATCATTCCCGACCTGCCGCTCCGCGCTTCCCTCCTCCTGCTGCTCCACACATCCGCAGCCGCCACCGCGGCTCTGCTGCCGAGCGGCGCCGGGGACGGAGCCCCCTCTGGCAGCCTGGCCGGGCGCTCCAGCAGGGACTGGCCTTCCAGCGAGCCCGACAGCAGCAGGGAAGAGTTAAATGTTGTTTTCCTTATAGAACACTCATTCAAAGTGGGAGCAAGGAATTTGCAGACATTTGCGGGGTTTCTTTTTCTCAGAAGTGCTGAAAAAATGTCTTGTTATGGATGAGGCATAAATGTTGTGTGGGCTGCACAAGTGATTCACCTGGGAACTGTGTAGCAGTGCAGCCCTAGCTTCGATCAAGTCCTTGTAGCTCTAGCCTGGAATCAGTAGTTTTTGTGTGTAACTGTTAGCTGTGGGTGTGATTTATTTTACCAAAATATTTAAAACGATACAACCTGTGATATGGACACAGATGTGTCAGGATTTAATTGTGAGTGTGGTGTTTTTTTGTTCTTCATTTGTTTTTCTTCTTTCACCTTCTTGCAGATGTTGAAGAGCCCGGTACCCAGAGGCTTCTTCCTCAACCTGTTGTGGTGTCTTCCAAGTTGCAAATCCCCGGCCTTCCCTTGCGCTGGGAGCAACAGAGCAAGCTCCTGCCGAGTGTTGCTGGGATCCCAGCCAGCAAAGTTTCCAAGTGGAGTACGGATGAGGTGGGTTTTCCCGATCTTCCATCTCGCTCCCATAATCCTTGGATTTTCTTAGTTGATTCAGAGCTTCAGATTAACCCCACAAGCAGTAACACCAGCAATGCACAGGCTCTCAAGAGGGTTGCAGTCAGTCAAAGCCAATGTAAGCGAACCTCAGAATTCCTATTGGGCTGCCATCCAGCCCTGGGAGCAGTAAATACACATTCACAGAGAGGTAGATGGAGGTAGATAAATGTGTGTGTATTTATACGTATGCACACTACTCACTGGGACTAGAGAGGGGGGAAAAATGGGCAAACCCAGCAGCTTAGAGGCTCAGGGATGTCTGCTCTAGTAGCCAGCCTCCGCACGAACGTTTCCCAGGGGTGGTGTGGGCGCTGCCCCCGTTAGCTCGTTCCCCCCGCGTGGCGCGGGTGTGCGCGCTGTTTCGGGTGCGAGGGCATAGCATGAAGAGGGATAGTACGGGCCATGGCTGAGCATGGCACCCTACTGCTAGGTCTAGGAACGCCAGTCAGCCAGGCCTAGTCCCTGTGGTCAGGGGTGAAGGCTCTTGTCTGCAGATGTGGCAGCCAGAGCTCCCCTAATGAGAGAGGGAAGAAGAGCCATGAGCTTTCCTTCTGCTTCTGATGGAGTTGGCCGTGTGCCGCTCCTGCAGCGTGGGGCAGCGCGTGCACCTTGGGTTGGCCCCGTCCGTGAGCCCATCCCAGCTCCTGAGCTGCACGACTGCGCTCTGCTGGCGGAGCTGCAGAAACAAGAGCTAAACCCCCTTGCTTCAGTGCTCGCCAGGCTTTTTTAAGACTGTTCTGAGCAAAATGCTGGTTGTCTTGCAAAAGCTTTCACTGTGTTCTTTGGTGCAGGTGTCTGAATTTATACGGAGTTTACCGGGATGTGAAGAACACGGCAAGGTGTTTAAAGATGAGGTGGGTGAGTTTTATTAAAGAGACCCAGCATACAAAGCTTGCTGAAAATAAATTTTATCATTGAAAATATATATAAATCAGGTATGTGCAGGAAACATATGTTTAAAGCCAGGAATAGGCAGCCTGGAAGGATAGGTTGCTTTGCATGTCTTGGAGTGTGTAATACAAAACTAGCTAAGTGCCAACCAATTCTCCTGTGTGTTTATTTAGCTTTGTAACTGCCACTTAAAATTTCTTAAAACTAACAATAGGAGGAATTTAATCACTTGCTAATTCTCTTCCTTAATCTGGTTTGAGGAAATTTGTAAGTACATGGCTCATATTTTATATGCGTTCATAAGGAGGATAAAGAAAAAAAGAAAAAAGGTAGAAAGCAGAGCAGTAGTTGAAGTTAACCACCGCAGATGCAGAGCTAGAGCTCTGCGTCTTCTCTGGTCACACGCAGCTCTCGAGGCTCTCTCTCCTGCCGTAGCCAGTGCACAGGCGCACGCAGGACACCGGAGCAGCTGAACGTCTGGCTGGGCTCCAGGGACCCGGGTGGTGCTCGCTCGGGCTGCGCCCCAAGCGGGCGCTGCTGCTATCTGAAAAGCTGGTTGTGCCCAGCATGTCCCTGGAAGGCAAAGGGGGTTTTAGGTGTCATCAGTCTTCCAAAGCAGTTTTTGTGGTTGTGGTTTCCCGCTCCCCCGCAGAGGCTTGTTTTTCCAAGAGGGTTGTTTGCTCCAAAATTGTCAAGGGGTCCATCCCACCTCGCCTGATGCTGAAGTCGCCCAGGGCAATTGGCCCTCCAGGCATACAGGGGTTGGTGGTCATGGGCCCGGGCCCAGACAGGGCAACGGCCCCTCCCGGAGAGCAGCAGCCAGGGAGCACAGGGCAGCCCCCGCGTGTGGCGGGTTTCAGGCAGTGCCTGGGCTGTGTCCAGCGGCTGCCGCGGTGGCTGTGGACGGGCTCACAGGCACCTCTGGGCGTTTTGCAGCTGTAGCAGGGTGCAGGCCTCGCGCGGGAGTCTCTGCAGTGAATCGGGATGGGTACAAGCTGGCACCATCGCCAGGCAGTTCCATACAGCGGGAATGTTGCGGAGATGGATGGATCTTAAGCCCTTTCATACAGGCTGTAAGAAAACACTTCCTGCCTGCGGGATTCAGCCCCTCGGGTCTAGTCCCAGGACTAGCAAAGTGAACGTGCCCGTTCCCTCCCTGCGAGCCCCAGCCTCATCTCTGTGTTAACGTACGCACAGCCTTCCTGTTGGACAGTGCCCGCGCAGCTTCCCGAGGCCGCCCACCAACAGCCCCTTCGGAGAGGACGAGCTGCCCTGTGCCCAAGGCAGCCCCGGGAGCTCTCTCTGGCATGGTCTAGACAGGGCCGAGGATGGCAGGTGCCTCATCTCTTAGATCTCTGAGAAACAGGTACCAAAAAAATCTCTGCAGCGTTTGGGTGTTCCTGCTCTTCCCCGTTACAGCTCGGTGCAGCAGGAGTGAGCACAGCCAGGGACTCCCCATGGCTCCCTGCCGCTGTTGGGGCACACGTTAACCCGGGTGTTGAAGCGCCGATTGAGCCCAGAGGGGTCCGCGGGGCTCCCGCTCCGGAGCCGGGAAGGGTCTCCCGGCAAGCGCAAGGTCATGGCTCAAACTCTCCTGCTGGGGCAGTGAGCCCGGTCCTTCTGCTGATCCTGCCATGGTGCAGAGAGATGGGCAGCCCCACGCTGCTGTGCTGCGGGGTCCGAGCCCGCCCGCTTTGCTTGGAGCGCACAACGAGGGGAAGGTGCCAGCGGGGGCTCTGCAGCCCTGCTCTCACCGCGGGGCTTCCCACCTGCATCTCCTTGCAGCAGGTCCCATGCAGACATTCCCTCAGGGAAGCTGCGGCACCGCCAGGTCCCAAGCACTTCCTTCGACCCGCGTGGTGCCATGGCCACCACTGCAGCGCTGCTCCGGGGAGAGCCCGGGCACCGGCTGCGTGCGCGGGGTCACTTGCCCGGGTGACAGATAGGGCTTCACCTTGTGGCTTCTCATGTTTGTGATTTGTTTTGTCTCCTGCCAGCACAGAGGTTTGCTTACAATAAAATGTTCACTAGCCCTGTTCGGTAAAATAAATAACGCTAGTAGAAAACAACACTAGAAAAATGTTCAGTGTTTCAGAAGTCTTGTCTGTGTTTAAGAGGCAGTTTTACCTACTCAGTTCCTTGTTTATATTGAGGACCAGATTAATTTTAATTCTTTGTTATTTTATGAAGGAAGGAGTAGGTTGAAGAGAGCTTCAGCTCTTTGGTTATGAGTGAAATGCAGAGAAGGAGTAACAGGCTGGAGAGGGCTTGTGTTGCAGTGCAGCTGAGCTCAGTTGATTTTACTTTTTAGCAGCTTTACCTTGTACTGTTGGTGTGGACATGAAAGGCGCTTGGCCAAGCTCAGCCAGACAGTTGTTTGCAAACAGAGGAGCGATGTCAGCCTCGTGTTTGGGCCTGGCCCGTCTGCCTAAAAGGTTCCAAGCAAAACTGCCCTGAAGGCTGACAGCGTTTGGACTGAGCCGCCGGAATTGCTTGAAGTTTCTTTTCATATTACCCGAACCGTCTCTCTTGCTGCTCTCCGAGTTCTTCTAACGGCTGTATTTTTTTTTTCTTTTAAAGCAAATTGATGGAGAAGCATTTCTGCTAATGACCCAATCAGACATAGTGAAAATCATGAGCATTAAACTGGGACCAGCCCTGAAAATCTTTAATTCCATCCTGATGTTCAAAGCTGCAGAGAAAAACTCTCACAACGAACTCTGAAGGTAACGGGACGGGGCACAAGCAGCTTCCCGCCCTGGAGCTCACGTTTTACTCAAAGCACAAAGACTCGCTGGAGCTGTTGAATGAGGGCTCTCCAGAAAGCAGAACAGGAGGCTCAGCTCTGGTGGACTATTTATTTTCTCCTGGAGCCAGCACCCACCTGCTTCCCTAGGGACGGTCACGAGCTCTGAACCGTGCTGCAGCCGCGCCAGCCAGTCTCACTGCCCAGCTTCCTGGCGCTGCACGCCTGGCTAGGATCCTGCCTTGCCCTAGATGGACATCAGGAAAACCTGCGCTAATTATTTATGCTGTATTATATGAGGGAATGTTAATATTTTCTAGGAAATCTTGACTTCATTGTACCCATTTTACCTTTCAGTAGCTTTGACTTCGTACTCTCAAAATAAAAACTAGTTAGCCAAAAAACGAGGCTACAGGTAGCCCCATGAGACTGTTATGGCTAATAAGAATTTGTGCCATAGTTTAAAAATGAAACACTTAATGTTACATACGTGACACTTTATCCTACAGCATATAACTTTACAGATTATAAAGCTGTTTGTTTGCTTGTAACAAAACAACCTTGTCGAGGGGTTGAAATTATAATGCATTTTTGATAACTGAATGTTTTTACTTTTGCACGATTTCAAAAATGTTATGTGAGTTTTTCCACCAGCATCTTTAATGTATTCTACCAAAAGATCAGCACAGAGAAGGCTGCAACTGACAAATAAAGTTTGACTTCATAGAGGACTTTTGTTCGTGCTGCACAAGGGAGTCCCGGCCTTTTCCCAGGGGAGGCTGCTAGCGACCTTCAGCACGTGAAGGAAAATTCACTGAGTTCGAGGTAAGAGATGAACAAGAGCCACCTGGCAGCAGAGAACCAGGGTGTGCTAAAGCTGGGCGAGCACCTCAGCTCCCGTGTGCTTGTTTCCCAAAGGTGGGGGAATGGGGACACCCTCCCCTCCACCTCCTCAGCTGGAAGCCGGGGCTCCGTGAGCGAGTGGGGCGGCGGGAGCCAGAGCTTCAACGCGCCGCGTCCCTGAGCGGCGCCGCGGGGGCCGGCAGCAGCCTGGGCACCCGTGTGTCTCTGTAGCGATGCGTCAGGGAATGTTGTTGCACTTGCTGTATAGACGTGAGACGTAAACAGGATGCACTTTAACTTGGAGAAAGCCTTGCTACCTGCATGCTGAGGACTGTCCTGAAATTTCACTTGCGCAGGAAGAGGGGGAAGTCTTGGAGGTTTTCTGGAAACCCTCTTCTTTGTGGTGCTGAGGTGGGCAGTTGCTCAGCCTTAAGATTTAGGAATGAACAGAGCATTTCTGTTGCACAGAACTCGGAGAATTTTACATCTTCCCACAGTTTGTGCTAGGTTCTTCTTTGGCTGGAGTTCCTTAAGGTTTCAGGAACTCTGTGTGCCCCTTCAGCTCACTTGGGTGACTGGTACCTGCCATAATATGAGGTAAAACAGGGTCAGTATGAAGTAAGTTGCATTGCTCTGTTAATTTCCTTCCATAGCATTGCATAAATAATATTTTTACATTTTGTTTAAAATTTGTACATTCAAATTGCACTCTTACTGTACGACAATACAATAAAAGCTGAAGCAGAGCTGTGTGTGCTGTGTGTGCCTGCCCAGGCTGCTCTGCGGGGCGGGAGGAGGAGGGACTCCCACTGCAGCCCTGGGCACTGGGTTTTTAGCAGAGCCGCTTGGCTGCTGCTCTGCCCTCCCCAAAACTGCTCCAGGGCTCACAGAGCACTTGCTGGCACAGCCACAGTCTCACCTCGGGGCCTGGATTTTGCCACTAGTGACAGGGGCAGTTACTCATGCAGGAAGTGAATGTCAAGTTCTCTTTCCATGGAAGTATTTCCTTTCCATGAACCTGCCCCTCTTCTGAGTCCCTCTCCTGGGTTCTGGCTCTGCAGCCACAGGTGTCTCTTCCCCATCTCACCCTCCCCTGGGCACTTGTGCTGCCCTGGGGGAGCCTGCAGCCCCGCCGCCAAGCTGGGAAACGGGAGCTGAACCAGCCCTTCAGGGAGGAGCGGGGAGAGCTGCTGCTCCCATTGTTTTTACACAGCAGCCACCCACAGCTGCGGCTCCAGAAAGGGGCTCCGATTAATGCCACTTACACGGGGCAGAGGCTCAGGACTGCAGGGAGAGGGCTGCGACAGGGGAAGAGAGGCCGGGGCCTCTGGGGGCACAAAGGCCCTTCTCCATGTGGAGGCCAGTACAAGAGGTGGGAACGGGAATGAGCATCTACCCCTGTGCCCCTGACACAGGGCGGCCCCCCAGCTGAGAGCTCATCTTCAGATTCCTACTTAGCAAATTCAGGATGCTTTAAAAAATAAAAGTTTCATGCACTGGGAGAACAGCCAAGGCTCCATCCTGCAAAGCAGAAAGCAGGCCCCCCACCAGTTTAAAACGCAAGAAATTATAGTGCACTTTCAGTGACTGTAATATAGGGCAATGGTGTCAACAGGCAAATCTCTGGCACTTCAGAACACTAAATGCAATAACATCTTTAAGGCAAGTGCTTAAATTAATTCACAGGTGTGACTTTAAAAAAAAAAATCTGACAGTGATTGTGTGATCTGAAATTGGAAAATACTCCATTTGGAAAAAAATGCAAAACACACACAGCAAATTATAAAATTTTATTCTAATGCTACAGCAGTGTTAGAATTTCCATTTAAAATACTGAAAGATGTCAGGCTTTTTTTTTTTTTAAGTAGCTAATAGTTTTTTTTGTTTGTTTGTTTGTTTTAAATGACGTTATAAACAACTGAGTTAGTTACAAACATCCATCCACCACCTCTGGGAAGAGCGCATGCTCGGTCACCACAGCAGTGGGCCTGCTTGGGACAGGGTCCCAGCGCTCCCGCGAGCGGCACTCGGGCACGGGGTCCAGGCGGCTCCTCGCCCCGGCTCACCTCGGGCGCCAGGACGCGAGGAAGGTCAGCGTGCTCCGGATCCCCCACGGACACGGGATCTCGAACACGTGGAACGCGGCCACGAGCGCGGCCAGGGCCGCAGCGCAGTCGTCGAGCTGGGTGAGCTCCTCTCTCTCTACGCACAGAGCAAACTCACACGAGTTCACGTTGAAGGGGTTTTTCACTTTCAACAGCGGTGTTACCACCGTCACCTGCAATTGGAGGGGAGAAAAAAAAAAAAAAAAGACATTTCAAATGATGCCACAGCAACACGTCAGTGAACCAAATGATAAACTGCAACTACAAATAATTAAGCAAGCTCCATAAGCTTTGAATTTAGCTAGTAATCCTGTTTCCACTCCTTTTGGGCCTCCCAAAAAGACAAGTGATGAGCCCAGGCAGCTCCTACCACACACGAGAGATCAGGGTCGCTGGTGCTCCATCTCCTACCTCCTCATTCACTGCAGCAAACAGAGTGGCATCATCTCCAAAGACCTCTGGTAGAAGCAAACATGCAGCCGTCATCTTCATATCTGCCAAAGGCAAAGGATCCTGTTAAACTACAGATGGAAACCACTGACACCACAGTGGCAGCCTGGGGACAAAAAAGAATAAAGAAACGCACGTTGTGGCCTACAGAAGAGCTAAGAGCTCAGCAGCAGAGCTGCTGTCCGTCTGTTTGGAAGAGCAGACCGTGCCGTGAGTGACAGCCCAGGAGCCCCCGGCTTGTGGCGGGCAGCGGCGTCAGGCAGCTCGTGCCACGGAGCTACCTCTGCCACCACGAGGTCTGTCTCAGAGGCAGCAAGCGGCCCCGGCGGGGCTCCAGGGG